CAGCACTGGGGAGGCAGAGGCAGGTGGATCTCTATGAGTTCAAGGCCAGCCTGGTCTCCAGAGCGAGTGCCAGGATAAGCTCCAAAGCTACAGGGAAACCCTGTCTGGAAAAACAACAAAAAACAGGTAATACCTAGGCATGGTGACACAGCTTTTAATTCCAGATGCAGGTGTGTATCTGATTTCAAGGCCAGCCTGATATATAGTGATTTTCCAGGACAACCAGCATGATGACATTATTTTAAAATCCAGGGTCGGGGGTGGGGTGCTGGAGAGATGGCTCAGTGGTTAAGAGCACTGGCTGCTTTTCTAGAGGACCTGGGTTCAGTTCCCAGCACCCACATGGCAGCCCACAAATGTCTGTAACTCCAGGGGAGTTAGGCTTAAATGTTAAACAAACGATGGGCAATGAGGAAGTCATCCTGACAACCTGGGAGGTTAAGTGACAAGGTCAAGGTGACACTAAAGGTCTATATAAGCTTTCTCTTGAATAGGTAGGATGATAGGAGAATTGGAAGATGATAGTGTGGCATGATACTGCCCATTCTTTGACCTTATGGAAAAGGCAACAGCAGAATGGTGGTTGAGAGTTAGCTGGGAGTTTATTAAAATCAGCTGTAAACCTCAGCCTGTAAACTGGAGCCTCTCCTGGGTGAGGAAGAGACCTGACAATGGTCGAAAGTGCTAGGTTTACCTGTAGGATTTTGTTTTTTCAAGACAGGGTTTCTCTGTAGCCTTCGATGTGGGAACTGTAGACCAGGCCAGCTTCCATCTTCAGAGATCCACCTGCCTCTGCCTCCCTAGTTCTGGGATTAAAGGTGTGCCCTTATCACCACTACCATCCAGCAGGGCTTTTTTTTTTTTTTTAAGATGATCTCACTATGTAGCACTGACTGGCCTCAAACTCAAAGATTTACCTGCCTCTGCTTTCTGAGTGCTGTGAGTGTGCATCACCACACCCAACCTGCTGTAGAATATTTAGGGGGTGAACAGGGTGAACGCTTGGGGTTTTAATTCCCTCCCTGAGCAGTATATGCTAAATGCTGGATGAGGTATAGCAACCCCAGATAGTGAAAAGAGGGATCTTACGATGGGATTGGATTCAAGAAATCAGGTAATGGGACCTTCTCATTCCAGGGTTCTAACTCAAGAGTTTCCTAGCAAAGAAGTCAGGATGACATGAGAGAAAATACTCTGAATTGAATCCCAGCTCCATCGCTTGAAACAGTGTGGCAATTTGCTCTCAGGAAATAAAATCCCCTGGGTGTGGTACTCATACCTGCAACCCTAACACTTGAGAGGCTGTTAGAATTGCCATCTGCTGAAGGCCATCCTGGGCTATGAAGTGAGGTCCAGGTCATTCTGTACTTCAAAAGAAAGATTAGCTCAATTGCTAGTACTTGCCTAGTATGTGAGTAAAGTCTTGGGTTCCGTCGCCAGCAGCACAAAAAGCAGGAGTGGTGGTGCATATCTGGAGTCCCAACACTTGGGAGGCAGAAGCAGGAAAATCAGAAGTTTATTCTTTATTCTGAGCTACAGAATAAACAGATTGGTAAACTATTTACACATCTATGTAAAGGACCAATTCTTTTTTCAAAAGTTTAGTTATTTCGTATGTATTGTGTGTATTTTATATGTGTGTGTGTGTGCACTATGTGCATTTCCTAGTGGACTCCTGCCCAAAAGGAGCGTCAGATCCCCTGAAACTGGACTTAAAAGTGGGCGTGAGCTACCTGATGCTGCTGGAAGCTGAACTCTAGTCCTCCACAAAGAGCAGAAAGCACTCTTTAACTGCTAAGCCTTCTCTCCAGTCTCTATACAGGGCCAATTCTAACAGCCAACTCTCCCATTTTACAGATGAGAAGAAAGGTTAAAATATATTCTTGCTCATAGCAATTAGATTTTTTTTTTGAGACAGGGTCTCATGTATCCCACTCAGGATGGTCTAGAACTCACTATGTAGCTAAGAATGGTCTTGAACTCCTGATGCTCCTGCCTTCATGTTCCAAGTGCTGGGGTTACAGGTGTGTGCCACCATGCTGAGTTTACAGCTACTCACTTATGCTTGGATCATTCTAGGCTGCTGTTAGCAGGGCTTAAAATAAGAACCCCGTTGAATATATTTTGTAAATTTTTGGAGATACTGGTTGGAGTGTTAATTACTTATACTTCTGCCAGGTGATGGTGGCATATGCCTTTAATCTCAGGACGTAGGAGGCCGAGGTAGGTGGATCTCTGAGTTTGAAGGCAGCTTGTTCTGCAGTGTGAGTTCCAGGACAGCCAGAGCTACACAAAGAAACTCTGTCTAGGAAAAAAAGCAAAACAATTTTTTTTTTATACTTCTATGATGACACTCTCTTCAGGAGTGGTTATCTAAAAACATCAAACCACTAGCTACACAAAGCTTTAGTGAGTGAGTGGAGAACCAGTCCCAAGTGTGAAATGCAAGGGTACCACAGTCAAGACTGTGCATGACCTTGTGTGTTTGGATAGAGGGAAATGAAGTGGTCAGCCAAGAAAATTAGTTAAACAGAGGCCCAGTCAACCCATGAGGGGTGATTCTGCAGACAGTTCTGGTTGTAGCTAGAAAGAGGGGTGCCACTAAAAGCATCCACCAGCGATGCTTTTTTAAACATGCTATGACTTGCATGGGTTAGTCCTCCTCAACAGAATTATCCTGCTCCAAAGATCAACAATGCCAGCGCCGAGAAAGTCTGATCCCACAGCACTACCCTGCCAACCAGAGTGAGCTCTGCCAGACACAACTCTCACCCCTGCCTCTGCTTCTTTCACAGTGCTCCCTGGACAAGCTCACTCCCTGAAATGACTCGAAAAGAGGCCGTTTCCAATCTCCTCTACTTACTAAGCTGGGTTCAGCCACGTGGATCTGCCCCTCACAGTACCAGGTGCCATTCCCTCAACTGGGAATGCTGTTCCTCTTCACTTTCTAACTCCAGGCTGTTCTTCAAGGGGCAGCTTGCTTTCTATGTCCACAGGGACATATGGATCTCCTGAAGTTCCCATCCAGCCCAGTCAGGCTTACCTCTTCAACCAGTTTCTTCATGTATTTACCTCACAGTTGTAATTGTGAACTTGTGCGTGTGATTGAGTCCTTGATGTCTGCCTTTTTTCGGGAGATTATGCACTCTGCAGGACAGACAGAAGGGGGTGGCTTGCACGCCGATGCTGGTGTTTGTTTTCACATCGCAGCATCTAGTAGAAACAGTTATTCAGTTAATTGAATAAGCAGATGAATGAATGAGAGTACGAATGAATGAAGAGACAGGCTTGCAAGTGAGCCATAATATAAAATGTGTGCCTCGATGCATATGAACACAATGAATAAATTAGCAATCATTTTTATGGTTTGGAGACAAGGTCTTGCTTCATTACCCAGGCTTGTGTCTTGAGGTCTTGGTCTCCAGTGATCTTCATGAGTCAGCCTCCCCAGGAACAGTAAGTAGCTGCTAACACAATGCAATACTGCCATGCCTGCTTGGAGTCTTTATGAATAAGTGCAGATGTGACCATTATTGAATGTATCTTTTGCTCAATATGTGTACATGTATTTCATAATGTGATTCTGTTTTCATTCTTATATTTCCCAGGTTATATGCACATGATGACATTGTTTCATTACAAAGAAACTATATTTTCCATGATGAGCAGGCATTCATTTTTAATTTAAAAAGTTTGTATGTGTTTGCATGTATGACGTGCACTGGTGTCCATAGAGGCCAGAAGAGTCTCAGATCCCTTAGAGCCATAGTTTGTGAGCTGACTGATGTGGGTGCTCAGACAAACCTGGGTCCTCTACAATGTAGATGCTGACAAACCCGGGTCCTCTACCATGTAGATGCTGAC